GAAATCTCGTGCACACGCAATCAATGCTTGCAATATCACATACCCTATTATTAAATTATTTATCAAATTACCAAGTGAATGTAAAGCACTATTAATCCCATAACAATTAAAAGATAAAATGTTAAGAACGTTATTTTGATATTTTAAGAAAAAAAATAATAATATTTATCACATAACAATAGCCACAAAATAAATGTTACAAAAAGATTAGTTTCATCCGCCGATGCTGCCAGCACCAAACATATAACTATTCCTAGTTGCTCCTGGAAGTTTATACTACCTGTAGTAACGGGCATTTTCAGGCCACAGGCTATGGTTTAGATGTTTCAACTTTAAGTTCATGTGTTCAACCACTACATAGGAGGCTGCCAGTGAATTAGGTTAATTTTTGATCATCAGTGAGATAATTTCAGTAACATTAACACTATTATTATCGCGGACGCGCCTCTTAACATCCTCTTCAATGGTTTTCTGGTGAAGACCACCTACATAACCTAGAAGAGAGGGGGAGGAGCTTCACAGGCCTTTAAAACATGTTGCCTTAATCTCCAACGCTGGTGCACAGGTGGCGCCAGGATTTTCCCAAAGGGGGATCCGAGGTCCTCGACAAGGGAGGGCATTCTGCCGAAGAGGGGAAGATTTCCCCGACGAGAGGAAAGTGGGCGTGGTGCAGGGGGCAAGACCCCCGAAAATTTTGAAAATATAGGGGGTTTCAAAGGCTTAGTTAATCGATTTTAGAGTCTACTAATAGTACAAAATCGTTTCCAGCCCGTTGCCACTCTGGCCCGTTGCCACCCAGCCTTTTGCCACCCAGCCCGATGCCACCTGGCCTTTTGCCACCTAGGCCAGTTGCCACCCGGGCTTTTGCCACCTTTGGATAAAAGCGAATATTTACATTATGCTGGGTTGTTTCTTACACAGATTTGTATTTGTTGCATACATGATGCATACACTTCTATAACTTTATATTTGAATGGTGAAGATAGTCCTAGCTAATACTGGAGTAAAAATTGTTTTAATTAAATCTCGTGTACTGCTATACTTTTTATTCAATCCGTATAAAGAAGGCAATATTGTAGTGTCCAGTTTTATTATATTTTCACAAATTAAAAACACATAACAATAACATTTATTTATAAAATTTAACCACAGGCCATTGTGCGTATGTGGTTGTTATAAATATTTAATTAATCTAATTGAGCTCACTTGGTTTAAATTGATTCCTCCTTGGTTTAAGGGCGGTTTATTACAAGCTATACTTTCTCATGAGAAATAAGGTCAAGAATAAATAGGATAAGGTGGCAAAAGGCCAGGTGGCAAAATGCTAGGTGGCAAAAGGCCGGGTGACAACGGGCCAATGGTGTTAGAGGGCCTAGGCCAGGTGGCAACGGGCCAGGCCGATTTTCAACGGACCTAGGCCGGGTGGCAACAGGCCTAGGTGGAAACGGGCCGGTGGCAAAAGGCTGGGTGGCAACTGGCCGGGTACAAAATACATATAATTTTCTTTTTTCCCGACGAATTGTGGTCAACGGGTGAAAAAATCCCCCTCCCCACCCCACCCCGACCATGTAGTTAGTCATACCCAGGTATCGTGATAAAGGGATTATCTTATGCGTTAATACGGTAGTTGTCTTATATAACTCAATGCACGTACTCATTTCATTTGCTTGGCCTATCCATAAGTTGCCTATATCGTCTAACGATTTCTAGGAATCGATCATTATTTCATGTATTCATTCGAATAAACGCCCCGGGACTTTAATGTTGAATAGTTTTTGAGGGCGCGTTTATTTGAGGAAGGCGTTCTTTCGAAAGATAGTTTTTGGTGTAAAATGGAAAGTTTAGTTTTGGCCTTCCTGTTTACTTGTTTAGGCTGTTTATTCTAATCTCACCTAGCCTATTGTTTCCAATAATGCTTGCATGAAATTCTCACTTTATACTATCTGGCTTTTTCAACCCTCACTCACTCGCCACTGAGGAAGGACTAGTGTTGTCCCTTATACACATCTAGATGTGTATAAGAGACCTGTCTCTTATACACATCTAGATGTGTATAAGAGACAGATATATATATATATGCCCCTTAATTTCACTGTAAATGTGGAACTACAACACCTTCAAAATAAATATTGCGTGATCATATAAAGTGTAGCCGCCGTAGATCGAAATGTATATATTTTAGACTGTATTATTTTGCACTGTAAATACGATGACGACCATTTAAGAACGTTGGTAAACTAGATTAGCGATTTTGATATATTTTATGTTAAATAGGCGCGTTCTATACAGATAGCCTAGTGTATAGTGACATGATTTACAGTAGTTAGTGATTCTAGTCAAAACATTGGTTTCAACGAAATATAATCCGGAAACGTATGCTGGCTGGCAGGTTGTAGTACTGTCAGGAAAAATTTGGTCCGGGGCCAAAATCGGTCCGCCGGACCGATTTTGGCTTTAAAATTACCTGCCAAATATAGTCCACATAAGCCAAAATCGGTCCGGCGTCTATTTAATAGCTTGTATTTTTATAACGTTGTTCATATTTTTTTTGTAATCAAATGATAGATAAATATCTTATCTCTTATTATCAAAGAGTATTTATATAGCCTAATATGTTTTCATTCGTTATTGTATGTGTAAAATCAAAGGTGAAATCACTGGTGAAAATTAAGTAAAGCTTCGCGCCCAGTATACCTCACACAATAATACATTTTAAGCCTAAACGTAGGTCTAACCACGGCCGCTGAAAATGATGCACGCTGTGTGTATCGCTTCGGCCTAGGAAATGCATTACCAGTACATGGTGGTTTGAACTTCCTCAAAAGCTTAACGAATCATTCTGTCAATTCTCGGTGGCAGGTGTAATAAAAAAATTGATAATCATTATATTATATGCAAATAATTACCAGCAAATTTGACAGATTGACAATAGATAACAATGTCAGACAACTCCTGAGCAATTTTAACTTTGTCCTTTCCTCCAGGCTTTGATGTTGGTAGTATTGTAAGATCTTGAACAGAGCCTCCACTCACTGTCTTCCTAAGTAAATCAAGCACACAGAAAGTGAAATACTTCAATGAAAGTACATCGACAGAATTTTTAATTTTGAAATAATGATGCAAAAATTATTAAAAATAATAGATGACGTATCATGCCAATGGATTGAAAGATTTTTCGGGTAAACACCAAGGATAACCCACGAAAGTCTAAAGAAGATATACTTGCAGTGGGGTCCTTCTGGTGGTGATTGGGCACCGCCAGACAATCCCCTACTTTTTTCCGAAGAGTGTACTGGGTTCCTTAACGTGCGCATGGATTATAATGCACACGGGACCAACGGTTTAAAAGTCTCATCCGAAAGACGGTGCGCTATCGTAACTTGCAAGGACAGCAGCAATGGTAATTGAACCAGGGACCAAGAGATCAGTGGCGGCTCTAGGATATAATTTATGGGGGGGGGGACTAAGATGTCCGACTGGGAGGGGGGCTAAGTATTTATGGGTGTGACTATAGCACGCAGCGTTATCTGAGGTCCGAAGGCCCGACGAGCGTTGGCCGATGGGGACTTGACCAGACCGATAGGGCTTGACCAGACCGATGGGGGTTTGACCAGACCGAGGGGGGCTTATGCCCCCTGCCCCAGCTGGTGCCGCCACTGCAAGAGATCTCCACAGATCAGCGCACACACAGTTGCTACCACCAGTTTAGCCGACTGAGCTATACTGCACACCGTTTTAGAAATGATGAGTATTTTTACTTACTTGTGCCCCTTTTTCTTTAAAGGATCCCTTACTTCACCTTTAGACATCTTTTGACTTCTGAGTGTATCTGCTGTATCGGTTGTATAATCCTCCTTTGGGAAAAGATGCTTTCTTTGTTTTGATGGGCTGTCTTTTGTATGTTTTATACCTAGAGTTGGGGATGGTCGAGTGGTGTTATGATATTGTCTGACCTTTGTTAAATCTATATCAGTTGTCTTTCTAACCACTTCATCAGCATTTGCAGACTTGAGCGCCTTTTCGATATCCAAGTTCCTAGTTGGAAGTTCATTCTCTACTTCTTTTTCTTTCTTATACAGATTGATTCCTACAGATTTCTTTTCTTCACTTATAATAGTGTTTTTTTCCTCTGTATTTTCTTTGTGGTGTGCCTTCAATTCCTCTAACTTGCAATCTTGTACGCCTTTATCAATTGGATTTAGGTTTTCAATAAATATCTCTGCATCATCCTTTCCCAAATACATATTTTTACCTCGTGTTTTCTTTTCTGTTTGGTCATAATCCATTTCTACCTTGATACTCTCACAAACAAAATTATCAATCTTGTCATTCACTTGGCAAGTGGTTTCTGCAGAATATTCATAACTATTATCTTCATTTTTGTCTGCAGCATCTGAATGATGATCTGACACCAAATAGAATGCTGAGCCCTCTTGTTTATCGTTTAACTGCTGATCTGTATCGCAAATATATATTTCCTCTTGTGTAGGCAAATCGGCAACTTCTACAGCTTTACTTGCCGCTTCTGGTGTTAGGTCAGATGTATGAATAATGTTATGTTCATCAACTACTGAGTGATCAACTTTTAATTGACTTTCACTGAATTTTTGGTCTGTCAATATTTCTTGGGTGGGTGATTTTGTGTGCACTTCATTTTGATCTTCTGACAAATAAGAAATATCTTTACAATGCTCATCGAAAACCTCCTCTGACATCCCGTTCAGTATATCATTTGAGTTGTTTTTTTCTCCTGACGAAATAATAATTGAAGTTTCACATTCCTTTTCATTTTCTAATTCTTCAAATAGTTTTGTCTGTTTTGTTTCATTTGTCTTTATAGTTAGGATTCTCGCATTCTGTACATTTGATATGTTATCCTTTACATCTGTAGCATTGGTGTTGAATGACAGAGCTGCAGAATCGTTTTCTGGTTGTTCATCACCCTGTTCTATTTGCGTTACTTTTTGTTCTTTTTCCTCCACATAATTCATAGGTATTGGAGTCAAGAAACTTGGCGTATCTGATTTTGAGTATTCTGAATTTACAGACATGCCTAATGATATTGTGGCATCATTGCAAGTTGTATTCTTTAAGTCTATTTTTGGAGACCCTGTGAGAACAAAAACAGTTTCTTCTATATCATTATTTATTTTAACACTTGCAATTGTGCTTTTCTTGTGAACGTTTCTCTCTGTACTTTGAACCTTCCATTTATCATCTTCAAACAATTTTCCTTTTCCTAATTCTAGAGGGTATTGGCTTTTTGTCAACACAAACTTTCGTTCATTACTGTTCTCCAAACAAACATCATCGAAATGTTGCAGTTCTGCACTTGCTTCAAGTAGATCTTGGTTATCGTATTTCATTCCACTGAACTCTGATTGTTGTTGCTGCGTGTCTTCAATGTTATCTGTTATAAGCAGATTTTCTTGGACCAAAGATTTTTCTTCATGTAAACATACAACCCGTTCATTTTTAATACTGCGTAATTTATCACTGTTTTTTTCTCTTTTATCAGGTACCACCTTCATTTCATTCATGATATCTGTTGCAGTAGCCTTTGTGTTCTGAAACTTATTTTTATTTGTGTTCACAAATTCCTTGTCTGCTGCCTGTACATCTTTTTTTTCAAAACTTTCTCTTTTAAAGTATTCATCAATGGTTTTAACATGTGTAGCTGCTGTTAGCTCATCCATGAGATTTGAATCTATATCAGATATTTTAATATCTGAATCTGTTGACGCGATGCCTTTATCAGTTTCATTTGTGTTTAAACTTACAGGATTGAGATATGTCAAACCTACAGACTCATCTGAAATCGATTTTTCAGAGAATTCTGCACATGCATATGGAGTAACATCAGAGGCCTCCTGCTTTTCTTGTTCAAATACATGTATATCTGTAGTTCCTAATGAACATTCTAATATTTCTGCAGATGACAGGATAAACGATGGTTCATCAGGAACATCTTCTATTTTTTTAAGAGCACCGTTATTTTCAATTTCAGGAACAACATCAATTTTCTTTGTTCTTGGAATTACACTATCCAGGGAACCATTATGACATTGAACAATTTCTTTATTTTCACTCGCATTGTGTGTCTTCTCACTAGATTCATTACCGCAGTTATCCAAACGATGTTCAATACCCTCTATAATGAAATTTCCAATGTCTGTGTCATTACCAAACACTTTAGAATTGACATCATTGTTTTTGATATTGGTTTTATTTTTAACATTTTCTTTTTTCTTTGTATTATGTGTTATTGGTAAAACTGATTGTTTTTCTACAAGGCTTGAAGTTTCAGAACTTGAAGAGTTTATCTCGTTACTGTCTAACATAGCAACTGTAATAGAAAGGAATTAGATATATAAATATTGATTTTTGCCACTGGCTCGTGCAAGTATTTTAAGTTGGTCCAGAATATTTGAAATTATTAACAGACATCAGTTATCATTTGAATCCACACCATTAGCATTGCGATTTTAAATACTATAAGAGAATCAAATTCTCTATGATTTTGTGGCTTTTGAGTTAATTTTGTATGGATCATTATGACAACTTAGTTGGACAATATTCGGTTTGATATATTGCAGGATGTGAATGTTCTCTGAATTACATTTTTTCTTTGCTCTATATTCCCGAAAGTAAAATGAATAACCAAAAGAGGGGGTACATTTGTATGATTGAAATCTTCCCTAATGATAAATGTAATAACAGTAATTGCAGCATATAAAACCTTACTCTGTCTACTCGAAATACCATCATGTGTATCCTCTCGTTCACAACCATTGTGTAAGTTCTTTCGAAAGTTTGATGTTGACTCACTATTTTGCTGCTGTAGTTTAAATTCATCAAACTTTAGCTATTAAAAAAATATAATAGTACTGTATATTATAATCTTTAGAAAATAAAAAATAAAAAGTTTGTTATGATGATTATGATAATAACAATTTAATGTTAGCCAAAACAAAGTATACATTATAGATGTACTACTGTTTCACGAGAGTGGTATGAATGGATACTCAAATTAACTCCTTCCATAACATGAGGCTGCAGCCAACTTTGAACTATATATATATATATATATATATATATATATATATATATATACTTTTATATTATATATTATATTATATATAATATATATATACTTTTATATTATATATTATATTATATATAATATATATAAAATATATATTTAACAAGGTCACTTAAAAACGTTGACGTTGAGGGCAACAGAGTGTACAAGCAAATTATATGTAATACTCAGACGTCTGTGCTACGACCAATTTTATACAAAATACTTTTTGGTAATTACCACACCACACCCTATGACTAGAGAGGGCTAAACAAAAATAAATTTTCTAAAAGACTATTAATCTTTGTATCTAATACCAAATTATAAAACATAAATATAATGCCAAAATATAAAGGCTTAATTGGATTAAAGATGATATTGTTTTCAAGATTAAATTTTGGTAAAATAATCATAAAAATTACCTGTTGCTTCAGTTTCTTATTTTTTAAGATTATTTTGTGTTTCAAATCCTCAGGTGAAGGTAGAGAAGGGTTAACATTGTGATCTGCATCACAGATGAAATCAGTCACAAGATTTTCACCAAACACATCCTATAATAATTATAATAATAGCAACCAGGTAATTAATTCCTATTTTACTACTTTAACAACAATGTTTTATAATACAAAAACCAGTATTCTATTTTTATCATTATAAAAATGCAACACCATCATTGTACTGCACTGCAGTTGACTTAACCATTTTAATTTTTAACTTTAAATTATTAATACTTGATATTCAGATTACAAAAAGTGGAGGAGTGAACAATCATAGACAGAGCATAGATTTTTTTAAATATATTATATATATATATATATATATTAAATAAAAAATGACTTATTTAACTTAAATTTGATCACATAATGGTAGTTAAGAATTACCATGAGCAGATCATGACTTGGGAGTGGTTGATAAACTAAAAGAGGTTTTACCTTAAACCAACTTTCGAAGTTATTAGTTCACAGTCATAAACAAACATGCATGCTGGCAACAATTTTTGAGGCAAAACAGGCAAGAAGCCTCTTTAGCCCTTTTAAATCCGTTCCTAATTACCTTGAAAATGGCAGCCATTTTTGCTTGTTGTGGAATTGAACAGTGGTTCTCTAGAGACAAGATTACTGGATAGTCTGATGTAATAAAAGCTGCCCTGTTAATTGCAATTACAACTTCCTTAAAAAAGAAAATAATTATTGTTGTACAATAAATTATTATTTTTGAGAACCACTAACATCTTAAGTCATAATAATTAAATTATTACTAAAACACCAGTGTTGCTTTGCCTATTTTTGTATTTTGTTTTATGTTGAGAATTTCGAAATACATCCAATCCAATCCTACCTTGAAACTTATTTTTGAAGTGAGTGTGTGTCCATGGTATATAAGAGGATAGCCATCATCTCCATCCCAACAATCCAACTCAACACATCTACAACCTGTTAATAGAATCTAAAAAAACGTATTGATGAGATTGCTTTAACGTTCAAAATTTAGAATAATGTATTGTCATCGAACAAACAAGTGAACAATTACATTTTTAAATATACTGTAAACAGCAATTTTTTTTAATAATTTGATTACGTGCTGGAATTAAAAATGTACATACAGTACATTGAAGATTCAGGTACAGCTACTTATGTCAATAAAAGTATATAAACAACATATAACTAGACTTACTATGTCTGTTTGAACAACAGAACATAGGAGTTCCCTATTGCTTTAATGAGAAATGAAGTTGAAATTGCAACATAAAGAAAATTCGTTAAAAGGTATAACATAAAAAAAACACAGAAAACCAATTTAATTTTAATGAAGTGGAAGAAATGAAATGGGAGGAAAAAAAAAACGGAAAACCAAATTCAATGCGACGTTATTAGTGAGACTTGAACTACGGCTGCAATGGTAACAGCGAAGTACATCGTGACCCATAACCATTGCGCGCTATATGGGCGACCTTGAATAGGAAAGTGCATTTTCAGTACATACTGAAAGCAAAAATTGTTCATGCATATCACATTAGGTTTTAGTTTAACCTAGGTTTGAGCGCTTTAGAAAACGCAAATTGCGTTTAAATAATTTAACTGTCAACGACAAATCTTTAAATGGTCCTAATATCCACACCCTGCTGCGGATCGTCACCAAAATTGGATCATTTCTTCATTTAACCATGAAAAACTATTCTGCAAAGTGTCATTTTTATCCATCTATAACTGGGACGTAAAGAATTTAAATGACCCTCAAATTTACACCCTAACCTGGATCGTCCCCTACACATAATAATATCTTCCTTGTAACTTGGGTTAAATTTTCCTGTAATGTTTATTCGGATCAGTAGATCCGTTTTGAAAATATCTGGTTTGGGACGTTTTCCTTTAAATGGTCCTCATATTCACACCCTACGCCGGATCATCACAAAAAATCAGTCATTTCTTTACTGGACCTTTACAAACTATTATAGAAAGTTAAATTGACACCCATTGAAAACCTTTTATAGATATTTACGTCTGGGATCTCAAAAAATTTAAATGACCCTCTAATGTACACCCTTGACTGATTCGTTGCCAACACATAAAACTATCTTCTTTGTAACTTGGTTAAATTTTTCCGAATGTTTCATTCAGATTAGTTGATCCGTTTTCGAAATATTTGTCTGGGACGTTTTCCTTTCAATGGTCCTCAGATCTACACCCTACTGCGGATCGTCACAAAAATTTAATCATTTTTGTACAAGACCTTTACAAAGTATTATAGAATGTTTCATTTATACCCATTGGTTTTTTTAAAGAGATATTTATTATTTACTTTAAACAATGAAGTAGATTTAGAGCTCTCATACTCTATAATTTGAAAATTATCTGTTTTCTCTGGGTTTTATTACGTTATGTTATACCAATAGTTTTTATCAGAAAAAACTTGGCCACAATGTTGCTGTCAGAATCAATGAAAGACTTTTTAATTTTTTTTTTAATCTAAAGTCCTTAGATTTCATCAAAAACTTGTGGAACTTGGTCACAATATTCCATAACCAAAGTAATTGAATGTTGAAGGGTCATGGTCAAAGGGTCAAAGGTCAAGGTCACAATCAAAAAACGATTTTATCAGAGACTCGTCAAACTTGAGTACAATGTTTCATGACCAAATATTTGGATGTGACTAAAATTTGAAGATTTAGAATTAAAGTTCAAGGGTCACAACAAAAAAAATTCTTTTGAACAGTTTTTATGAACTTGGCCACAATGTTCCATGATCAAAGATCTGGAAGTGAGTATATTTAGATCTGGAAGTGAGTATATTTTGAAGGGTCAGGGTCAAAAGTCAAAGACACAATGATCAAAAAACTACTTGTATAACGTGTGTGTGTGTGTGTGTGTGCTTATACGGGCTTACCAGTAAAGTGTAAACAAACATATAACCATTAATTTTAAAATTATACATGTGAAAAACAATTTGGTGTAGTGTTTAGATGAGTGTTTTCACACTACCGATCCTGAGTTCAAGTGCCATAGTCATGGTCATAGGGACAATAGGCAGATTTGTAGGAAATGTATACTGAGGAGAATTATGGCGTGAGCGGAGGTATGCACACTTCGGGTGCCCTTTAATTCGTTATAAATACAGTGTATTTTGTTCCTTCCTTATTGTTTATGTGCCGGCGCTAATGTGCCCTCGTTCTCGTACGGCCGTCATCTCTTTCCACTAGACCTAGGCAAATTCGCCCAAAACGCGATTGTTTTTTTTTTCATTACACGCGTGGGCAGTCCAATAATAAACTGGAGCAAAAATTATGATTCTCACTATTGGGTGCTACATAAAACTTTTTGTGCCCCTTGATTGTGACATTAAAACTTACTCTGGTATCTACACATGAGAAAAATCGCATACAAGCTTTAGTATTACGCGCTATATGAATGTAACAATATTATTATTATTATTATTATAAACACTAAAAACGTTATAACGCTCTTATAAATATTCTTAAACTTTGACTAATAACTTGGTTAATGAGATACAAAACATTTTAACCAGCATTCTTCCGTACATAACTTATCATTATAGTACTGGGGAAATATATATTATTCAAGAAATCTTATTATTCCATTTTCCAGACTTCCAGACTCTTTTTATGTAAACCGCCCAAGTCCTTTTTATTGGAATAAACTTCCTAATGATATTAAAGAATTAAAAACGTTTTTTTTTTGTGTGTCTAAATACTAGTATTTAATTTATATTCTGTTATTGCTTCTCCTTGTACTCTTTTATTTTGTTTTTTGTCAAAAGGCCAACCGAGACAAGCTCGACTTTATATTTGGTCATGGTAAAATAAATTTCTGATGATTTGATTTGATTAGTTGAAGCAACAGTCTAATGTCAATTAATGGGTTTTAAAAGTTATAATGATTTTTAAAATACATAAAAATATGTTACCCTTGATGGGTGACCCCTGATCTACTATTTTCAAAATTACTATGCACATTCATATTTTACGGTGAATAAGTACTAGTTAATATTACATTTAAAAAATGCTCTTTTTGTTTTTATCGCTTTCTACAAAAAAAAGTGTGTTACAGCAAACATCAAAGGTTTTTACCGCTGTTGAATGCCATTTTTACCGATTCCCACCAAAGTGTATTCTCACACAGTTTGCTGTTTGGTTTAAATGGTTGCTGTGTAGCTCAGGGTATTTATTATCCTCCTTATCAAGTGTATCAAGATCATCTGGAAGTTTAGAGGTTTAGGTTCCAATATCTGGTTTTGTTTAACCAGTTCTTAAGAATTACTGTACTGTCATAATTGTGTTTAGAATGTATGTATACCTGCATTTTCATTACATGCTATCATTATATACTGTGATACATACCTGTGCATAAAGTTCAGAAGACGATTCACCTTTCAACTGATGTCCCGTTAAATACGTGTTGTGGGATGACTTAATATAGTAGTGGCTAAGGGGATGATTCATGTCCTGTCAATAGATATTTGAAATTGTCATTTAATTGAATAAATAATTATTTCATATATTGGAGCATAACTTTTAAATACCAAAGCATAACCACAGTGGCGGATCTAGTGGGGAGGGGGTTAATAGGGTAAGTAGAAACCCCCACCCCCTTCGTTTACCGTGAAAACTAAAATAATGGTCACTCGTCGTGTTTGTGTGCTTCTCGTGTACTCTGGTAAAACATTCACTTTCTATTTTAAGCTTACTTCTTTTCTGATGCCACCTAAGATCGTCTAGCTGTCTACTAAGTCCAAATAAATCTCAAATGTGAGGGGATGCCCTCCCAAAACCACCCTTCTCCCACGCTCGTGCCTTCTCACCTCCCATTATCCACCCACTATTGCTAAATCCTAGATCCGCCACTGCACCATTTTTGCGTCAATTCCTCCTAGGGGGCAAAGACACTATGTTATTTGGAAGTCTGGCATAGACAGGAAAACGATCACCGGCCACAAATGGGATAACGCCCAAAAATGTAACAACAAAACATGACCCACTTAGAATGTAGCACTTTGTGACAGACATGGCAATTTCATTTTTTGATCTGTGAGGCGTGCGAACAACAAAACAGTAAGAGAGTCATATTCTAAAAGAGTGTATTTAACGTCAAATGGTGATTTTGATAATAAATCATTATGAATCTCTGAAAAATTAGTTGGTATTTAAATGTAATAGAGATGCCTACAATATGTGACATTTTATTTCTGGTCAAATGCTATTTAAGGTCAAATAACTGAAAACATGATACTAAAGTGTAATTGTAGTTAGCAAGCCTTGTATTCTGCTACATCTATCATGACAAAGTGTATTTTAATGTACTTACATGCATCACACTTTAGTGACATGTTACATAGGCTTATATTGTTCAAGTTTGTCTGTACAATTTTATACACAGCATGTTTGTAATGTGAAAGAATGTTGTGTGCGTTTTCACTTGACTGAAGTTCTATTCCAAATTAAATTAGGTCAGAGCAATAACTTTTTTAGTGATTTGTGCTTCTCATGCATCCACTGTCAAGCTGCTGGCCTTACCTCTGTCCGAACGTTAATTTCTTCATTGTTAAATGCAAAACATTCCTTATCCATTAGAAATTTGGCAAAGCCTTCGAACGACATCCACTTATTTTTTCTCAGCAATGGGGATGGTTCATGTTGCTGAAAAAATATTAAGGCATTTCTTTTAACATATTGTATCTGCAATAGCATCACCATAATCATTATCACATTTAAATAACATCTCTTTGTCAGATAAACAAACCTTTAATGATAAACGCAGATCGTATTAGTATGACAATGCTGAACTCAAGAGGGCGATATCTTAGATTTATAACATTAATAATTTACAGTTTGTCTCAAGGACATGGTGGTGTTGTTCTAGTTAGTGCGTTGATAAGATATTCATATTCATAATTTTATTTCACTCAAAACGTAATGAGTCTGGTATAGGCAAAAAAAGGGAACATGTCCCTGTACAAGATGCCTACCAGAGATATGGTAATGAATATTCATGAGTTATATAGACTTACTATGGGAAATTACTATCATCCTCTATCTTCCCCCGAGTCTTTGACCATACATTCGATAAATACTTAAGACACAAGGTAGTCTGCTTGTGCCAGACTGGTGGTTGCCTGTCACGACCGGTGAGTTTGATGGCAGCAGTTAGTAAGGATGTTGGCGATATTGATTGTGTCGGTGGTGTCATAGGCGTCTGAGGGTGTAACTCAGGGGAAAACACGGTTCCGGGCCGAAACGCCGACGTCATTGTTCGGTGGTGGGTCATTCTGTCAAGAGTGAGGCTCACATTTGCCGAAGAAATGTCCTGTTGCGCAACGTCCTTTATTACTTTTCGCCCCTATTTATTTGTTTGTGTGTGTGTGTGTTTATGTGTGTGTGGGAGTGTGCATACGTGTATCCATATCAGACGTCCATTGTACTTGTTTCTTCACTTAATATTCAACATACAGTACGACTCCGTACATGTAAGCATTATAATACGTACATCATATTATTATATTAATTACATAGATTGAATGAATCAGAGAAGAAATGACTACCTGAATCAATTGACTAATTTCATCATCAGATAATTCTTCAAACTGTTTCTGTCGCAGGAATTTTCGAAGCTGGTTTAATCCCATTCCTGTTGTTGGATTGCTTTCGATACTAGCGATGTTTGTAGGAATGCTAGATGCTGCAATTGCATCATAAATACGTTTGTTGCCATCTGTAATTGTGCTAATTACCGGTACCATGTCTCTTGTCAATGAGATATCTTTCAAAAAGAGAGATAATAAATACTAACTCCAAGAAAATGCTTCTGTAAAAGTCAGTGGCAAATTTTAGTTTACCATTCTTGAAAGCTAATGTTACACTATTCAGTTACATATGTACAGTAATCTGTTTTTGGGAGCTTGGATTTATCTGTTATGTAGAATACAATATTCTCACGTCGATATGATTCTTGAATAAAGACGTTGCTAAGTACGCACATGGAAACTCCTACTGGATATTTGCCTACCTAAGTCGGCTAGAGGAATACAGGAAATGAGCCCTTTTCACATATGTCTCCCACGAGAACATAATGGGCCCGGTGTGGCATCGCTCAAAATCTTCCAAAAGTAGTCCAGTGGCGAAGGACCAGAAAATTATGACAATTGATGGGTTTCAACTGAGGTTTTTTTTTAAATCCATTTTAGAGCCTATATGTAGAAAATACATTACAAAAAAATTACTCTCCTCAACGAACTCCCCCCTCCCCAACTGGCGCCACCCATGTCATTGGTATTTCTTAAATATATAACTCTAGTAAGTTCCAACAATAAAATTTTGAAATAATAAAAAAACAAATAGCACCCCTTCCCCACCACCACCACCCACAACTGGCGCCAGTGCAAATTTTCATGTTTAGCATTTTTTGTACTTGTTGTTTTAAGGAATATCAAACTGATCTGTTGAATATAGTGATTTTGAATTTTGAATAACATTCAATAAACCGATTGTGACCGTCGATCAAGTGTACTGAAAGTTAAATGTCAAACAGGAACCACAAGTTTACCTGTAATCTTTGTCTTTTCAATTTATCAAGACTACATACCAATTTTTTCTCATTTAGGGTTTGTCTTAGTAATACAAAACTGTAAACAGGAAAAATTCCTTTTACAGACGTGTGTCTTTCGTGAATCGTCGTTACCCGAGAGCGTACTCAACCGGAACCACAGACAGATTTTATATCCACAAACGTGGATTACTGCGCATCTGTAACTGCACTGAACAATGGCCACTCACTTGAAAAATGCATCATACATGTTTTTAACTTGTACTAAAATGCATCCCAAAAATCCCAGAAAACCGAAAAAACTGACACATAAACTCTTTAAGTGTTAATTCACTAGCATTTAAGTAAAAAATTTATTCGGAGTTTTTTAAAGGTTAGGCCTATAAGTAACGGTAATAAAATTAATTTAAATATTTTATAATATTAAGCATTTTTATGATCAATGCAATATACTATCTGCAATCATACTTTGTATAAATTCATTTAAATTTGGCAGTATTATAACAAAATATGTATTCAATTGACAGGCCAAATAAAGATTATTCATTAAACTCACCTAGAGATTGTCTCAAATTATCATGGTTGGATGTTGGTACTGCTTTGGGTACATCATCAGCATCTTCTTCTTTTGTGATTGTCATTGGAATTGCATAGTCAAGAAATATATCTTTGAGATCCTTTCGGCATCGAATACTAAATAACTTATACAATTCAACAAAAGCTAAATAAAAAAAAATGCGCAAGATTTACTCAATACAAAAATAGAAATAGCAATTGGTATTTTGTATTTATTGTTTCTCTTGCTTATCACTATATATTTTTACTTCAATCTAATTTCATGTTAGATAAATAGGCAATGATGGCGATATATTTGAAATTTTCATATATATGAATATTGAGGGCCCTGTCACATAGCAATTAGCTGGATTGCGATGGATAATAATATTCATGCGTGCTAACTTTAGATGACTGAATAATATATGACTTTGCTTTAGACGCAATTTTTCCATAAAGGTCTCTGGCGAGATTGTCCGAAGCTATCGAATGACAAATTAGGATTTGGTTTTAAATTGGTTATGTAGAAGAAATAAGCGGAATACACATAAACGACCTGGACCTTTAGTTTGAGACGCGACTCAGAGCTGCAATGCACAGTGCGAGAACATTGTATCCTATTAAATATAAGCAGCCAAATATTTTAATTATTATTATCAGGCCAAACTAAAAAAAAATTATAAAATTTGTTGCGAAGCGCTGACCCAGATCTCACTGCTGTTCTTCTTCTTGTTCCCAAAACTTAAAAAACTTAAAAACCGTACAGCGAAACTATTTTTGAACGGACGTGCAAGAAATTGTGTACACATAAACTAGAGATGATTTCCAACAAACGTTTATCGCCCTTATTTTAAGTTGGATCACAGAGTTCCCCCTACACCTGCAAAACAAAACAGGGGTTTCAAACTTGAAAAGCGTCCAGCGTCGCCAGTTTTGACCAGACGTACAGAAAATTGTTACACATAAATTAGAGGTATTTTCCAACAAACGTTCATTGCCCTTTTTTAAGATGCACCCCAGGGTCCTCCTAAACCTACAAAACAAAAAAACAGGGTTTTCACGTTTTAGAAGCGTCCAGCGTCGCCAGTTTTGAACGGACATGCAGGAAATTTTGTACGCATAACCTAGAGGTAATTTTCATCAAACGTTCATTGCCCTTTTTTAAAGTTGGACCCCAGGGTTCCCCCTACACCTACAAAACAAAATAGGGGTTTCAAACTTTAAAAGCATCCAGCGTCGCCAGTTTTGAACGGACATCGCCTATTGAGCAAGTTTGAATCGCGTATTTAATTTTTTTTTTCATTTTGTCAAACAGTTCTCATCCATGTTTATTAAAAAAGAAAATTAACACCGAGGCGCGATTCAAACTCGCAACCTTCAGTTAAGGATGTGCTGTAAAGAACTAAAGGTCGTGAGTTCGAAACGAAACTTAAATCCACACTGGATTTAAAGTTCTCAAGTGAGTAAGGTATGTAGTAGTGTACGTTACCATTTGCGTAACTTGTGGAGGATTCGAAAATTTGTTAATCAAGATACTTGTCATGCAGCAGTTAGAGCCCTCGTACTATCGCGAATTGACTATTGTAACTTACTCTATGGTGGTCTCTTCAAGAAAGACATTGATAGACTGCAGAAATTGCAAAACTCTGCTGCTCACTTAGTCTTTTCATGTGATCCTCGTACACACTCTGCTCCTCTCATCAATGAGCTTCATTGGCTGCGAGTTAATAATCAAATTATTTTCAAAATTATTCTCACTGTTCACAAATGTATCTATGGTTTTTCTCCAAACTATTGATATGGTTTTCTCGACCAACGTATCCCTATACGTACAACACGTTTCTCTTCATCTGTACATTTCATTATGCCACGTCACAACAAGAGAATTGGAAGCTTTTCATTTCCTTGTTATGCTTCTAAACTTTGGAATAATCTTCCAACTGACCTTATAGATATCTCCGATCCTAATCTTTTTAAACGTGCACTCAAAACTTACTTGTTTGCCTAATTCTCTTTTTGCTGCTTTTATTTCTTTTTCCTTTTGTATTTTTTTTATTGTTGTAATCTGTTTATTTGTCTTTGTTGTTTGTGTGACTGTACTACTGTGATGCTTCAGGTTCCTGAATAATGACTGATTTTATGCCTACCATTTGTTTTCCTCAATTATTGAGGCTTGGCTTGCGCTTCATAACCGCAAAGGAAAGGCGCAATATAAATACCCAATACCAGTACCAGTATTAATTTTTTCCCAATATTAAGATTTTTTTTCAATTTTAAGCATTTTAACTTTGTACAAATGATCTTTCTAAATATTATGTTTTTACTTGTACAAATAAACATTCTAATTATTTAAAAAATACATTAAAATACATTACCAAAAATTGGAACGTTGCATGAATGACGCTGTCGGTTAAGGATGTGTTCAAAAGTTCGTGGGTTCGAAACTCGCCTTGGTATTCATTTGTTTTTAATTTATTTATATAGTTTAATTTTGTACAAATTATCATTCTAAATAATGCTTTTTTTTTGTACAAATAAACATTCTAATTATTTAAAAATTTCTATTTTATTAGCTCTTCTAAAAACCCAATATAATAACTTGCGCCTGTACTGTATTTAAGCATGGAGGAACGGCAATAAAACGGCATTAAACAGCAGGAACAACCAAGCCGGTGTGGAACTTATTTCTAATGGGTTCCTCAACGGCATAAAATAAGTGAGCAGGTAACAAAAGAAAAATCAGTTTACAGAACAAGATATTCACTTTACAGTGCTTTATTTCTAAAAGGTTCCTTAACTTTCATTTAAAAATAGCTAATGCCTGACAATTGTTTTTTTTTTAAATTCCTTTATTGCAAATTACTCTGACTAACAAACAAAAACATTTTTTTTATTATATTTTTAATTAATCTCTTATCCTTTTTTCGTTTAATAAGATTCCTATTAAGATTAATATTGTATTTATTCATTTAATATATTCATATATATTCAATGTGTGATGTGCATATGGATGTGTATACACCATTTTCGCCAAATTTGAAATGAAAATGTCCGATAACCTTGCAACCACCACTTGGGAACTTCCAGAGGCCTAGCATTCTACGTAGTTACTATTATGGAATAATTAAAGTAGTAATAAATAAAATAATATAAAGTAATAATGAGCACGAATATTTTAAAACGAAAAAAGAACGAACTGTTTATATTAAAAACAAGTCTTAGTCTTAAATTTTAATGTTTACATATACAGTAATTAGCATGATCGTATGAGTTGTCCACTGCTGCTATAATAGCAAAGGTACTTTCGTTTTAGACAAGCACGATGTCACCTACTTTCGCATTTCGTATTGGTTCCTATATTTCTGCCGCTGCTGTAAGGTACTCCTTTACTCATCGTGTTAAGAACATGTCAGACAGAGATTGAGCTTGTCTCCATTATTACATCTTATACTCTTTACTTTTCCTCTTCGGGCATCAGTGGCCATAGAAACAGCCACTTCCTCCACTTCTGACTATGTGCCACGGGGATAAAGACACTCCCTAAAACTTTACTACAATATTTGCGAAAGTTGTAGTTAGGTTATGTCAGAAAATAATGCTAAACTATGTTGTAGCCACGTGTTCAGCACTATTTAGTTAGAATTACGTTATTAAATGTTATGGTTTAAAAAAAATGTAAAAACTCTTTGTTGTTAAGACTCGATTAATAAGACCCAGTCTGTTGTATCCAAGTGAAAATATAGGGCAAAACTTGCATGAGCAGATTAGTAAAATTACAATAGCTGTTTGCAATTGTGTGAAACATGACAAACGCAAACCAATGTTCAGTTAAAAAAGATGATTTTAAAATACATCAATAAGATAATTGAGAAATAATTGGAGTTTTTCGTTTTTCGGGTCTTCGGTCTTCGTTTTGTAGACACCCATATAGGGTGTCTATAAACCGAAGGCCCTTGAAAATTTCACAGACGCCCAAAATATTTCGTTATTTTGATTTTGCGACAGCCTGGTGTATTATCATCAAAATAAACGAGAAAAATAGGGGTCATTGTTTTTGGGTCTTCGGTCTTCGTTTTATAGACACCCAAAACTTTGTTGCCTAGTCTTGCGTTATGAAAATTGTTCCTTCAACCAGATAGTCTAAGATGTCAGTTTTGCTTTTCTGTTGGTTTACAATATGTAGCAGATGAAATTTCTGAATGACCTCAACTGTATATTAATAAATGTTCTCATGTAGGGGTCGTGGAAGCGGTTTGGCGCAGCGGGAACGGTTTGATTTCCCAACACCGAGATCGGGGTTTCAATCCCTCGCTGTGCATTTCGCTTGTGTCCTTGGTCAAGACACTTTATTTGCATTGCTTCTCTTCACTAAGGAGTATAAATGGGAACCTGGTGGGGTTACCTGTTCCTGCGCTGATTACCAGCAGCAGCATGTGGATCCAATGACCAGGGAAAAAAACTGAGCTTTATAACCGCAAGGAACAGGTGCATTATAAATGGCCGTACCAATACCAATACCAATAGCTCTACTGTTTGCTACACTGTTTACTTTAAAAGGTCTGTTACCATGGCAACAAGATATTTAAAAAAAAATATCTCGTTATTTTAATATGCACCAAAAATGAAATCAATTACCAAATTATAAAGAAAATCTATATTTTGAAGTTTGGCCACTTTTGGTCGATATTGGTTGGTATTTATAGACAACCTCTCTTAAGTAGGTTTTGTCTAGATAACAACTCGTCATTCAATGCAACTCCAAGATATCGAGCTCTGCAGTCATTTACCACACGTATCTTAGTTGGCTTTTGGGGGTGATATACACCATGGTGCACAATGTACCAGACACTTGGCCATTTCACTACAGTCTATGAGCGGATGTTGCTTTCCACATCCACAACAATAACATTTATTAAGTGATTCTATATTCGCAGCGTACAATTTACGTTTTAACAGCTGCATTGGCTTCATATTATGTTGGGCGATTTACCATACAATTGAATCGTTTGATTTCTTAGCCCCAGATCAAACAAATTTAACCAGATTTTAAATTTATTTCTCTGGCCTTCCTTCTTGTATTTGTAAACTTATTCACGCCATTTTCTTGCAAGTTATATGGTAACTTGGTCACTATGTTTCTTAAGTTAGCTGAGAAAGGACAGCCAA